CTACTATGAGAGCCAGCAGAGTAAATGGGGCCCTGGTAAGAGAGGGGTGGCATGTAAGTGGCCCTCCGGGGTTGTAGAGAAGAGCTACAACTGTGTGCCCAGTTTGCTCTGTCTATAGGCTGGAGAAGTAACACCCACAGAGTAACATCTGCAAGGCATGGGACCTGTGGAGAGGAGGTTGGAGTGGGTATTAAGGCCCTTGTCAGCAGAGCGAGTAATGGGTAGCCTCCTGCATTAGTAATGACTCTCATATTTTTACACCAAGGCATGGCAGGCGAGAGAAGCAGGCAGTTACCCCAAGAGCAGGGTGGCCGGCAGAGACCTGACAGGGAGGCCACCCTGTTTCAATAGGCAACAAAGTTCTGGTTTTAAAAAAGATTTTCCAGATTCCCTGTCTGCTTCCTAGGTCTTGAATTGTTCCCATTAAATGCAAATCAATGTAGTTTGTCTTCCGGTAGTCACCAGGTTTGAGATACATGTTTCAAAGCTTCTGCTGCCCTGTGTTGTCTTCAGTTCATATCAGGATAATAAATTGTATAAAACTTGTCCTTTGAATGTAATTAAGTATATATGCACATAGGATTAATTTAAGGCACTGTTTCATTATGTTAAACACTTAGTGTAAAAACCTACAACAGCCTTGAGCACAAGATTCAAAATGTGCTATGGGCCATTTCTTATTGTTGGAGTACAGCTTACAAAAACACATGCTTATTTCGGTAGCATCCGCAGTGTGTTGGGTGTTTCTTCTAAACACAGAAGTAGCAACCTCCACTGTGTGTAGCTCACAAATCACATGTATATGATTTCCTTAATTCTAACAGATTAAAAAAGTTTCCACTTAATAGAACCTGGCCTGTCAAGACAGACAGGGACAGGAGAGCCAAATATCTTCTTTGCCTCTGGCATAGCATCATGATCACATGTATCTAAAAGAGTTCTCTGCTTCCTGGGTAGGGGTCCACTGATCAATCAAGGATGCCAAGTCATCACATTGTCAGGGCTACTGTGTGATGGGGACAGAGAAAAGTCTTTATTGTTTCCATGATCTGCTGTATTTTTTTGGCAAGCGTTTTGTTGAGTGGCATTGGAAACTGTGAGAAACTTGCCCCCTTGTTTGAAAGGCATTGATTTTTCTCCTGACATCTACTTGCGATTTAGTATAAATATAGTAGCTGGGAGTTTCAGAAGTGGGTAAGTGGCAACCAGAATCAGTAACTTAAAAAATGTAAGCAGCCATCCTTTGCAAATGAGGTCCCTTGATGTTATCTGAAATTGGGCAATGAAGATCATTGGATGCTCTAAATGCTACTGAGAAAACTCTTTTCATGTAGACATTCTGTTTTGTAAGCTGTGTATTTGACTTCTAGGATAATACCACCCTTTTTGACACCTATGATGTGGAGCTTATAAAAAAGAATGGACAAAGCTTGGGTATAACTATTGTTGGATATGCTGGAACAGCTGATCTTGGTGAGTTATATTAATTATGAAAGATTGATTTATCAAAACCTGTTTTTTTAAAGGAAATTGAATAGTATTTTAAAATACTCCTCTGCAACTTCGTACCCCACAAAATGTATGAAATCATAGGATAAATTGTTTGAAGAACTATCTGTTGCTTTTCTCAGTCCTAAGGAGTCCCATGGGTCTAATTTAAATTTTAAAACATTTTTTACAGGATGCTGGATTGCTAATTTTGCAGGCTGGGGTCAGTTAAAGACATGGTCCCTGACTGTCCTATGGTCCGTGTCTGAGGACCTGGCACAATCTGGGATGTGGATTCTTTAGGTGCCTTCACAAAAAATCAAATATAGTAAAGGCTGTGTTAACTGGCATTTTACTAACCAGAATATTCTATTAACTGGAATTTCCAATATCCCCCAGTACAAATCTTCACTTTAGTAACTGGAATCTTTGCCAAGCCCGTCCAGCATTTGCATCAAGTATTTCTATTGTTTACATTGTTTAGTGACGCTGCTGATAGAGTAGCTGCTGGGAGCTCTTCTAGTTGATATCCACATAGGCAGAGGGAGAAATTTGGGGTGGGGAGCTGAGTGCACACACACGCATGTGCGCATGCACCCCCCAGGCAGGAAAGTCTGCGGGGGAAGGTATGGGGGGAATGGAAAGGTATGTGTGGGGCAGGGTGGGCTGCGGCTGCAGGCTGGGGCTGGTAAAACTCTCAGATAACCTGAATTTTTAGATAACTGGCACCACCCTTACTCCACTCATGCCAGATGATAAAGCTTTTACTGTAACATGTTTAAATTAGTCTCATAAATAAATGCTCGGAATACCCTGTATTGGCCTTGTGTTTTTGATCACGTCTCCAGCACATAAAACGGAGATGACATACTTTCATGCATGGGCTAGTGTTTGAGCTCTGGTAATGGATCAAAATATCCGTGCACAGAGTTCACTTTAAATGTGCGAAAGAAGGAAAGCTTTTTTTGATTTCTGCAACTCCTGTTTGTTAAAAAATTGTCTTTTCACAAGGGATTTTTCTGATTTTTAAATGATTAAATTATTAAAATATAAGACAAGGATGAGGTTCTGATCCAACAAAGCACTTCAGCACAGGCTTAAGTGCCTTGCTGTTTCATAGCCTATATAGTATGGGAGGTGTCTTGTCTCTGAAGAGGTTTAAGCATAAATTAAGCAAGTCAGCATCAGAATGCTTGTGCTGTTACTATTTTCTTTAGCTCTGACTCTTGATGTGTAACTTTTTTTGCCCAATTTTGTGATGTGATGTGAAGACAATGGCCATTTGTGAGTAGAATTAGAGGCAAATTCCTTTCATCTGTGGACTCAGTCCTTCAAAAGTACAAGGGTCTTGGGCTCTAAATGTATAGCTGTTTAACAAAAGGACATAATTAGTGCTTTCATTTGTTCATTCCTTTGGTTTGTTGTTTGTTTACATGTATGTATGTATTTTTTAAAGCAGATTCCTCTGGGATTTTTGTGAAAAATATAATACCTGGCAGTGCTGCAGATCACAGTGGATGTATACAAGTGCATGACAAAATTGTTGCTGTAAGGAAAAATATTTAATATATTTCTGGTTTTTGGAACTAGCACTATTCTATGTCTGGATTAAAAAAAAAAAAAGAAAAATAGCTTTAATAATTTAAACTTCAGTTCAGAACCCAATTGCATTCAGTTTATAAAATGGAGGAATGTCGGCAATTTATTTTTGTTTTCATAGCCATGTCAATAAAACTTAGTGCTTAAGCTAGCAGCTCTGGTTTGCAGTGGTTAGATTATTAGTTTACTGCAAAATTGAGAACAGAGATTGCAAACAGTAAACTAGGTAGATGTGTGGATTGAAGCATTTCAGAGTGGGATGGGTTAGAAAGCCAAGTACTGTCAACACCCACTAAAATCCATGGAGTTAAAGAAACGCTCTATAACTATGTATAAGCTGATAACATCGCATTGACACTATAGAAATATTCATTCAGAGTTTTAACAAAGCCACGTGTGTATGTAAAAATTAAAATAGTTTGAATAAATGGCAATACTGCATGAACTGAGTAATATCTAATATGCAAACCTAAAACATAAGAAAATAAATAATTTAAACTCTGAAATGTTTCTTAACTTGGAGACATTCACTTTCAAAGCATATAAAATATTTGGGACTAAATGTTCTGCAGACACAATACCTAAATTTTGTCATTGTTTGCTCTCCCCATGCATGCACAATTTGATGCCTGCTTATGCTTGCAACTACAGTTCTGCAAGTACAGAAGTTTATGGGTACATGGTCAGAATCTTGTGTGTGTGGAGACATTGGGCTTTGGGGGTGCAAAATAAAATACAGTCATTTAAAAGTTAGTGTACTTAAAGTGCACCACATGCACAATATGTGTGCGTGTAAGCTGGGCAGAGATCTGGCAGAAGAGTTATACTGATGGCAGCTGAAAGGACTGTTAGTCTGATAAGTGTATCTAGGAAGTTCCATGAACAGTACATTTCAAACTGCTGTTTGCTTCTAGTAACTATGCTGGAAAAAAATTATTTTACACTAAAAATTAGTACATGACTGCCTTGTGTGCCCCTCCCCCTCAAGTTCTTTTTTGTATTTTCTTTGAAAATACATTTTGAAGATGGCACTGTATAATTATCCTGATGTAACTGAGGGGCTGGGCATACAAAAACACTGCTGAAAAGTTAATGAGGGTGGAAATTCATAGTGCATCAGCTACTTTGTGGTACCTGGCTTTGTAGTGCTACTTCCTTGTGACAGATGAAAGCTAACCTTTGGTAGTTCACCCCTCCATCATTAGCTGAGTTTAGCCATCATTTACTGCTTGTGAAAGCATGAACATGGGTAGTTCTAATGGAGTGGTTAACAAGCTGTAGAAGCCCACCCTTCCTTACCTTACAGTAGTGCATATAAGTGCCTGTGCCCTGTGTCAATGCAAGATTTGTGCATGTAGTGATCTGAGGGCTAGCAGTTATAGTTCTTGAAAGATGAGTTTCATTACTTTTTATGTACTACAGTACATGATGGAGCTTTCAAAACAAAACATAGGAATCACATTGTGGTTGATTTTTCTCATGTGATTTTTGTACATTAGGTTGATGGAATTAACATTCAAGATTATACCAACCAACAAGTGGTGGAAGCATTGCGTAATACAGGGCAGGTTGTACGCCTTACGTTGCTTCGAAGGAAAACTCCTTCTGCTTCTTCCTTGACGGGAAGATCTTTAGATACAGGTAATTCTTTACCCTTCTCTTCCAGTTCTTCGCTATATTTATTTTCTCTTTCAGTTTCTAGTAAGCTATTTCAGCATTTAAAGGTGCTGAGCTTTCTGAGGACGCGTTTCACAGCATTGGACTGTTTTGAGACCGGGTGGATAGAAGGAAAGAAAAGAGGAATGCAGTAGAGCAAAGCTCCTGTAGACTGAACAAGGAAGCTGCTGGTGGATGATGATTTTAATATCATAACCTCTGTACCACCCAGCTTACTTGAAGTCTTTTGGATCATTACAGTGCAACCAAATATGCCAGCCTTAATATTGTCTGGAGCTGTAGAGACTGAAACTAAGTTGGATAGTGATAATGAGGAAGATCAAGAGCAGAAAGATAACTTTGAAAATGAAAAGCAAAGTCTGCATAAAATAGGTAGGTAAAGCACCTTGCAGTGAATCTCCTGCCTAATTACTGGCCTTCTGGAATTTATTTCTATAATCCAATTTTTGTCATGATGGATGGGCAGTCATGGCTTTCTTTTCCTTACACTATTTTAATTTTCTCCTCTCCAGTCCTTTTCATTTAACTGGCCCCAAATTCTAAAATATGCTTCCATATACTTGTGAATGAATTTCTGTAATAGAAATGAAAGGTTCCAGAATGACAGTCCTGGAGACCTGTGCTTTTTCCATTCCAAGGGGCCTGATCCTGAGTGGAGATGTTGCTTCTCTCAGAATAGGGCTTGGGGTAGCCTGTGTGAGCTCTGTCAGCTGTCTTGCCAGTGTACCTCAGCCCCTGATCTTGGATGGAACATTTAGTGGGGAGGCTTGAGTCTTGATAGACATTCGGTCCCTAACCCAGTTGCTCCAGACACCAGTTTTGATGATGCGTTTGGGTAGGCAGATCCCTGACTCCCATGAATTTGCTGGATACACCTTCTGCATTCTTACAAGTGCATTTCAACAGTTATATTGGTCAGTACCTTTGTTGCTGTTAGCCTGAGCCAAATTTGAATTAATGATTAAGATTATAATGCTATTTTCAGTTTAATTAAAAAAGAGCAAAGAAGGAAATCCATGAGTAGTCACAGGGAAAAGGCATATGAAGGCAACAGGGCAGTAGGACTAGGCACAAGATCTTGATACAGGAAGATGTGCATTATTTCAATGAGAAATAAGGCATGCATTTTTAATGGTCTAAGTATATGACTGTTGCAAGAGAGAGGGCAGATTTTGTATCAACTGAAATATAAAGCACAGTATTCTTTCTATAAGACATGCTTTAATCTGATCACAAATTAATGGACTTGTCACAGGAATTCCTTGGTGAGTTGTGTACCTGTATTATAGTGAATTCAGACTGACAACTCTTTCTGATCTTACCAGCTATGATTTTATTAAGGATTTTCTAAATCGTAGGATTTTCATCCATGAAGTTGTTTCACTGTATTTGTGAAAGTTTAGTCAATTATAAAGACATCTTCTAAATGGAAAAAAAAGACAACTGGGTCATTTAGTTTCATCTTTTCTTCTTCCCAAACCTCTCAGTGAGCCACCCCATTTTGTTTGCTTCCGTGATTTCTTCTTTGTGGCCTCCCATATCTTGCTAGAGGAGAAGGTCATGTTAACTGAGACATGAGGTAATCAAGGCATCAAGTTACAGTACTGGGAATGGAAAGACACGGATAGATTTTTATGGTTCAGGTTTATGAGGAAAAACAGAAAATCTTAGCTGCAGTGTTTTGTAGGGGCAGAGAGAGATCAGCCATGAATATGAAGCCAGAGTGATGCTTGGATGTGAGACAACTAACTCAAAGTAAAAGTGTGGGGAGAGTTTGTGAAGTAAATCTTAAATTGTTAGCATGCTGGTAGCTAATGATAGAAGATAAAAACTACATAGCCCAACACTATGTGCAAGTAAAGATTGTTAGGTAGATCAAATTCAAAGGATGGAGGACTGGAACCGCCACCAAGGAGGGATTACTCTGCTTTAGTCCGGACTTGCAGAGAGCAAACCAGGAAAGCCAAGGCTGCGACTGAACTCCAGCTAGCTACAAATATCAAGGAAAATAAAAAGTCCTTTTTTAGATATGTGGGGAGCCGGAGGAAAAGCAAGGGCAGCGTTGGACCCCTGCTAAACCAGATGGGGCAACTGATGCCCAGGAGAAAGCGAACTTGCTAAATGGGTACTTTGCGTCAGTTTTTCACCAGTCCCATGGGACGGCCCTGCCCACTATGGGTCAGGGAGGCCCGGGTGAGGGAGAGTCCTTGCCCTCCATCGAAGCTGACCTCATGAAGGAACACCTTGACAGGCTGGATACCTTCAAGTCAGCCAGCCCTGATGGGTTACACCCAAGGGTACTCAGGGAGCTGGCGAGCATCATAGCCCAGCCCCTGGCACGGATCTATGAGAGTTCTTGGTGCTCTGGTGAAGTGCCTGATGATTGGAAGAGGGCCAATGTTGTGCCTATCTTCAAGAGAGGGAGGAAAGTAGATCCGGCAAACTACAGGCCCATCAGCCTGACCTCTCCTGGGGAAGGTCTTGGAAAAGATTATCAAGGAGGGCATCCTTAACAGACTAGCTGAAGGCAATATCCTGAGGGATACCCATCATGGGTTTGTTGCGGGTAGGTCTTGCTTGATCAACCTCATTTCCTTTTATGACCAGGTGATGTATCACCAGGACAAGGAGGAAGAGATCAACTTTGTATACCTCGACTTTAAAAAAGCCTTTGATCTGGTATCCCATGATCACCTCTTGGTGAAACTGGTTAACTGCAGCCTTGGCCTCACCACGATCCGCTGGCTGGGGAAGGCTCCATGGTCGGACCCAGAGGCTGGTGGTTGACAGAAGTCAATTGTCATGGTGCGCTGTGACCAGTGGGGTCCC